ATCCAAAAATAATTATAAATTAGAGTCATAAAATACTTGATATCATTTTTGAATAGAGTTCTATGTGGACTCCATAAGTCAGAATGAATATAGTCTAATTTATCATCGGTCTTGTACGTTGCCTGTTTGTTAGACTTTACCCTGGTCTACTTTTAAACACATAATATTCGCAGAAATCCATGATTTCTTCCTTATAACTGTCCAACAAATTTTGTTTGTTCAACACATATAATCCTTTGTCACTCATATGACTTAAGCGCATATGTTACAACTTAGTCTGATTTTGATCACTGTTCTCTGATGCCACAACAACTTCTTCTGAAATTGTATTGTCGTGAAGAATATATAATCTAGATTCCAAACTATCTTTCATAAATACCATTAAACCCTTACACACTTTAAAAATACCATTCTCTGTATGAAATATATATCCTTGAGAATCCACAGTAGAAAGAGAAATCAAGTTCTTCTTCATTTGAGGAAGATGTCAACACTTGATGGTTTTGGTAGCTTCATCAAACATTCTTGATGTAATGTCACCAATTATGTCTCCATTCAATGGACTATTATTGTCTATAGACACAGTACCATTCATTTATTTGTATGTAGTAAACCAATACTTGTGTGAACACATATAGAATGTAGCACCAGCATCAAGAATGCGAAAATTCTTTCCATGATCAGAACTCACAGATAAAACTTCTCTAGCACTACTGCTATCACTATCATCTGAATTGTTGTCATCAATTAAATGAGCAAAGTTCTTTTGTTTATTTCCTTTTTTCTCTCTCAACTTGGGATAATATCTTTTAAAGTGTTTGTCATCTTAGCTCTAGATTTTGATATACCTCTTGACTTATTCCTTTTTTGTGTTCTTTTCCTATTAACCAAACTCTCTCCTTCTGTTCTATACTCTAGGAAGTTCTTTTTAAACTCTTTTGATTTTAATGTTTTACTAACATTATCTAGTGAATTTTTGTCATTCTTGTACAGTAGAGTGTCAACAAATATCTCATATGATAGTTGTAGTGAATACAATACAATTAGGGTCTGATCTTCATTATCAATCTTGATATCTATATTATTCAAATCCATAACGATAGAATTAAATACATCAAAATGTTGTTTAATGGACGCACATTCCTCATTATAGATTGTACAACATTTTCTTTAGATAAAGGCAGTTCGTTAGCGATCTTGTACAATATAAATTCTTATAATTTCTTCCATGCAGCTGAAGGAAAAATTTTTCTAGTAATTTCGGCAGAACATTATCAGTTACACTCATGAAAATCATCAGTGTACTCATGATGGAATTAAATATATCAGATGCTGTTGAATAAAACGTACCTCACTTTTTTTCAAAT